AACGCACTCCCGCTTCCCGAAAAGCCCAGTCCAGCCCACCACCGCTACACCACTACGTCGACCCCCGATTCCATCCCTTACTACACCAAACATCGCGAACCTCTCAACTCTTCCGATATATCCTCCCTAAACTGCCTCCAAGACCTTGTTTCCCCGCGCGCACTGCTCAACTCGCGCTTCGTCTCCGCACCACTCGTAGAAGCCAAGATCCGCTTACCACCTTCTGAAGAAGACATGGCAGCAAGAGCGCGACGAGATATGTCCGACAGTGGCTTCAGCTTATCGCGAGATTGGGACGAGGAGGAAGAAGGCATCGTAAATGTCCCGTTCGATCGAAACTTTGGGCCACCGGAGAGGGATCCTAGGTTTAGATGGAGTGTCGACTTTTGAGTGCATCTCTACCTCCTCCGCCACCACCAACACACACACATACACTTCACTTCTCCACGCGCGCATCTTCAGCGTTGGCATCTTATTGCATTGCATCCATCGCATAGCCGATTCCTCCACCTGTTTTCTCTACCTTTTTTTCTTTTCCCTTTGTTACCAGCGATGATTTTGTTCCGCAAAGCGAAAATTGCATACTCGCATTTTGGATAGACACGAACTTTGACGACCTACACCAAATGGCGTTTTGGCGGGTCCTGATGGATTCAGGCATCGTTTTCTTTTTTTTGGAGGGTGCTGGCTTCTGGCATTGTCACCTATTCGCTTCTTCAAGGTCTGGGTTTTGTATATATCGCTGCATTAGATATATGACTATTCGAGAGTGGGCTCCAGGAAGAGCTTCATTTTACAGCACAAACACTTGTTCTCGATCGGTGCATACATCGCTCAAGCTTCATTCTCCCCAGCACCTTGTGTATACGGACTTGAGGTAATTCCTTGTTTGCTTGCTTTGCTTTGCTTTGCTTTCTAACATCGCCCCATAAACAATGCACACGCATACTACATGATTCCCCGTTCCATTTGATATCTTACAACTCCACGTAAACATGATCTATCGAGCGCCCAAATCCCACAACCTAAGCGTCTCGCCCTTTCCACCCCTCTTCTTGTTGCCCTTTTCTTTGCCACCCTCAGTCAACTTCAACATACATTTCGATACAGCCGCTAAGCATTCCAGTACTTCGCTCATCCTGCCTGTTTCTAGCAGACACCTCTGCACCCACTCGTTACTCCTGTCCGCTACTACAACAGCTACCTCCATAGCCTTGATTGCGGGGTCCTTGTTCAGGAACCAGGCTGCTGCTTGCAGGACTGAGAGGTATGCGAGAATTATATCCGGTACGTAGGCCTTCATCAACTCCCAGGTCTTACTTGTAAGGTATTCAGGGTCGGCGGCGGAGGCATCGGAGATGGCAGGGATGAGGGTGTCAAAGACGTTCGATATCGAGTCTAGGAGCGCTTTCGTGCGTTGGGTATCGGGCTTGTGTTTCGCAGAGGCCCCGTCCTTCTTGCGTTCAGCACGGATTCTGTAGCGAGGGTCAGTTGGTGTACTTGGTAAAGGGAAGAGAGCTTTGACTGACTGGATGAGTGTCTGCTCCTCTTCACGCCATTCGCGGAAGAGGACCAGTAAGCGCACAATCTGCTGAAGTGTGTAGTATGCGGTGCTACTCTGGCGCAGCGCATTCACCGTCCTCCTGTGCCGGTCTGCGTTGGGCAGTTTAGCCATGGGAATAGCGGCGGCTCGGTCAGCAGTAGACAGGCTGTCACGGTGTTCATGCAGTCGCTGTTCATCCTGCTCCTCTGCTCCTGGCATTGTGAAATCGAAGGGGTAGCCGAGCAGGGCTTCTGTCCTTGATAACGACAGAGTCTCGACGCTTAGATCGCCGATGACCTTCTCAGCGGCGGCAAGTCGACCATTAACTGAACGATATGTTAGCAAGTTTCCGTTTGTGCATGTTAGACGTGACTTACGAAGGAAGATGATCAGCGCGCTCTGCAAGTGTGCAAACGTATTCTCGTAATCCTTTGCAACATAGCTGTACCATTGCACCGAATCGATTACAACCTCGTCTTGTGGGCTTATCTCAGCACCGTCGAATGTCCGCTTGACACGCACGCCCGGCCATAGCAGCTGCTCGGTCGGAAGTGTAATCTTCTCTAAAATGTTAAACCGCTTGATAGGGTTAGTGATAACGCCATAACCATCGTTGGTAAAGTGCGTAAATCCACTATCCCGCGAAGCAAACGTGAAGCTCTGTGAAATGACTTGGACGACGTCAATCCGATATGACTCCATCAGCGCAACGGAGTGTCGTTGCTCAGAGTTGTTCTTGATATCGGGAAGCACGCGTGCAAGACTATAGGCTGCTCGTTCGTCGATGAGTTGCGCGGCGTATAGTGGTATGGTATCGAACCGTTTGGTGAGGCGCAAGAACTCGATGTAAGCTGTGATGACATTGTCCATAGCTAGGAATTTCTTGTCCTGATGTGTATCCTCGAAAAGCGTGTGTAATCCGTTGCGAAGGACAATGAAGATGTGGACAACAATGCGGAAAGCGTGTGGATCTTTCGCAAGGGCCTGGTAATATGGCTCTGCGTGATATGTGCGATGATCTCCGGCGGGTATTGGGCTTCGGTCCTCTTCTGGTGAGTCTGGGTGTATGATGAGACTGTGAGGTCGCTCGTCCTTATCGAACATGTCTGCAATAGCCACACCAACCTTCAGCATCAGATCATCAGCACCTCTGCCAATTAGCGCGCTCTGGATGAGTTTGATCGGGGAGACCGCTTGCGCTGCTGTGCTCTTCTGCTGCTTCAGAAGCCCCATGACCTTTTCCGGTGATCCCTCCCAGTCTCCGATATTCGCGACGGCGTCCTGGAACAGAAACTTCTGAGTCAGGCTCTCTGTCACTCGATTCGGATGCTTCTTCTGAAGGTATGAGTCGAATCGCGAGAGAAGAAGTGCGTTGTAGTGCGCATATAGATGGTCGTCCCAAGACCTGCAGACCGTCTGTACTTGCTTCAAGTCTCCACTCAACAGCCCGTATACAGCGCCTTCGTATGGTATCCGAGCACCCCTTGCGGCGTAGAAGCACATGCGACGGAACAGATAGCCAACCGTCGGCCCTGCGACATTCGGGCCACCTTCAGGATGGCCCTCATACGCAGCTCCAATGCTAACACCGCGCCACGACTCGTTTCGTTCGTAGCACCAGTCGACGATTGTCTTCCAGGGGAGTCCCCGTCGCATCATTTCATATGCGACCATCCAGAGAGAGCGCTCGTAGTACTCATCGCTCCGTTCGAGTGCGCGCTTTTGCCTAGAAGGAGCGTCCGGGTCCAGTTGGGTAACGAGGTTCGCGGTTCTGTCTGAGGTCTTGAGATTCGAGTTGATCGGCTTCAGAGGCTGGTCTATGTCGTCCATGCGCTTCGCCTGCTTGATCTTTGTCTTCGTCTCCAACCATCCGCTGGTCCATGTGTGCGCGCCCTTTCCGGAGTGTTCCTCAAGCCCTGTAATAATCGCCTTGACGTCGCTGTCACTGTCGCGCGCTGTTTGTTCCAACCAGCGAAGGACAAGCGCCTTCTCTTTCGCCTGGTCATCCTCCAGCAGAAAACGATCCCAGATCTCACTATTCTTGCAGTATCTTGCAGTTCCCCCAACTTCTTCCAGTTGCGCTTGCTTTTCCACAGTAGAATCGGTGCCAGGCTCGGGGTTGTAGTGTTCGATGACCAGCTTCAACAGTTTCCATGTCGCAAGCTCAGCCTGCCATTCTCGTAGTTCTCGAACGTTCGCGGAGACGGAGGCCGCGTTCGGTTCGATGGACGAAATGACTGATTGTGACGACTGGCCAAACAGACTCTGGGCTGGGTTGTCTGACGCATCTGCCATAGTCTGTATTTGTCGACGAACAGTCTTGCTGAGGCTTCCCTTGTTCTCTGCTTCGGTCGTTCGCTTCAACTCCTTCACGTGCGATTCCGCAACGTCTTGGAACTTGCCGACCAGCTTGACCGTGGTCTGGTATTTGGCTTTCTTCGATTCGTTGCCATGAACATGCCAGTGGTCTACTCGCTCCGCGAACTTCTCCACCTCTTTCCCTACCCGTTCGGCCATTGCGCGCAGCGGTTGTAGCGGATCGTTGGGTTTGGCGCCGTTTGTGGCTCGAGACGTCCCGAAAAGGAGCGCATTGTTGTTGTTGGACTGGATAGAATGTCAGCCCCCATTGGAGCGGAATTGGAGGTGTCTCGGGAGGCAGCAGGACCTCTCTGATGACTTACCTGAGCTGCAGTCGGCTGCGACTGACGCGATAGTGATCGTGAAGCCATGGCGGACGTGAAGAATGTAGTTTGGGAAAGGTGAGAAGAAGGCGATGAGACAGTCTCAGTGATACTCGATCAGACGCGCCCCAATGACGTGTTGAGAGCTGTGATGCTCGTGGTTGACTGCCCCAAGCCCATCACAAAACACAAGTCGCGCGCGGACGGTCCCTGCCGACTAGCGCGTCGCCAAGAGCCGGCGCGCTAGTGAACATAAAACTCAGAATCTGCCCTTACCCAGAGTCTCTCGGCACAATGTTTTCACAGGACGGCGCCTTTAGAGTCTCGTCAGGAATCTTCAATTTCTCATGACGCGCTCGTGCTGTCCTAGATCAATGCGCTTCCTGGTAACCTGGCTGGACTTCCAAGTGAAGTTTGACAGTGCGGATGATATAGGAAGTGATACATCTCATAAGCTAATGGCCGGTCTCTCGAACGGCACTCGAATTTCTCCTGGCACCATATTCGTCTGGCCATCTCGGCTTACATGTCTCCATGCGCCAGCCTCGCGAAAAAGCTTCTTTCCCTGGAATGCACTTTGGCGAAAATGGGAATCTTTGATGTTCGCTGTAATTGGCGTTCCAAATGCATGGCCAAACGCCAGCGGATACCATCTGGGCACAATGCAATGTACCGCTGACTGCAGAAAAATGGTGCTCCGTCGCGACAATGCTAGTGACGCGAAACTTCTGCATGGAGAGGGAGAGGTCCCGGTGTCAATGGTAGAAAGAAACTACAGGCGTTTTGATTTATTATGTTACACAGCTATAATTACACAGGGATATGTACATCAGCCTGCTAGAGAGGCTATGATATCCCTTTCGCACGCTGCTCCATCTTGAGTCTAAGATGTCGTTAGAGTTGCCGATGAGTTGAACGGATCTCGAAACTCACTTGAGGAGCGCATATTTCGGACAGCTCACAGTGCTGGCATTTTCTCCCTGCTCTTTGTAAAAAGCGTTGCAGCACTCGTATAGTGCATCGACCTGGTCTTGGTCAGGCTGCGGCCAAAGTCGCCCATGTATTCAATGGCTCTCTTGTGAGACATGGACGCGTACCTCTTTTCTGCACTTCTCCTCGTTGTAGTTGTTCTTCTGTATGCAGTCTATCACTTAGCTCAGTATGATACAAGTTGACTAGATTACATACTTTGAATTGCACATGCTCTAGGATGACACGGAGGATCTGTCCTCAAGTCCTTTTCCATTTCTCCCTTGAATCTCGTCAACTTGGTACTCGTCGCCGCTTCCATAAGCGTGACATCATGAGCATACCATTGTGAAGACACACAAACTGCCCAAGCGCTGCAGGATTCGGTATGCAAGGTTTGCAAAACTGCAGAGGCACAAAAAGATAGCAATTCGGTAACAAAGCAGGTGAGACGAATTATGTCGTGCAGGTAAAGGTGATGAAGGTGAAGCCGGTTGGCTAGAGCTGGCCAATGCTTTGAGAGCGAGACCCCACTAATTCTCAGTGCTCCCACCTCATCGTCGTTGCGCTTTCCTCCTTCACACAACTTCCCACGCGTTGCCACCGCTCCTACACACACCCGACGCGTCTGCCCAGCCTCGCGAGAGTCTTCTATCACCCGACGTAATCAGCACCAAAGCGCCGGTATTAAGGTACGGCTATCTCCGCACTATATAAAGCAGCCTCCCCCACGACAAAACGGCTCTTCCTCATTTTCCACCGCTTCCGCTGGTTAGCCGACTGACCTCGCCGAACAGCCCTACTCGACCGCTCTGCGACCCAACACCTCACTTAGACGCCCACGCACCTCCCACGCCTCAAAATGTCTGACAACGGTTCGCCCAACGTGCAGCAGAAGCCTGAAGACGGTGGCCAGAGCGAGCACCTCAACATCAAGGTCACCGATAACAACAACGAGGTCTTCTTCAAGATCAAGCGCACCACTGCCCTTGGCAAGCTCATGAACGCCTTCTGCGACCGCCAGGGAAAGAACATCTCAAGCGTGCGATTCTTGTTCGACGGTCAGCGCGTAACAGCCGCAGACAACCCAGACACGGTACGTGAGAGAATCACAGTCGTCCACATATAGCGCAAGACTGCGTTTCTGGGACAATTGCTAATGCGACACAGCTCGACATGCAGGATGGCGACACCCTCGAAGTCCACCAAGAGCAAATCGGTGGCTGCTGACCGGCGACCCTCCGCAACGTTGTGCAGAGCTTCCTACAGCTCCACCAAACTTCGACACCCAGCGGCTAGGCCATCACCTTGTATACCCACGAGTGCGACCTGCCGAAGACCTACGAGGACACGATTGCTTTCAGCGGCGGCGATGGCGGAAAAGAGGCATGGGTTTTGCTTTCACATATGATACTATGGGTTCGGGCGTCACGGATTTACCAAGCCCGCCTTGCGGCGCGATTTGAGTCTTCACGCATTAGCTGATGGTGCGCCATAAGCGAGAAGGATTGAATTCACTACATACTTTCCATGACTTATATGCACGTGTCCTGGAACAAGCAGCAATGTGCGGCAATTGAAGATCGGTGACTACGGTATCTCAAGCGAAGAAGTGGTTCGGTCCAACGCCGAATACAATCGATGCTCGATAATCCCATCTGCAGCAAAATCAACAAGCTAGTACTTTCATGCTTCCTCGATATCAGGGGCACCTTTTTACATCTAATTTACAGATTTGCGTAGACTATATGTACAATAATACCAAAACCACATGTCGAGCGTAGTCTCAGCATAAGAGCGTTCAACTGCTCTAATCATCCCAAACAGCCTTCTTCCTGGCTTCCCTCTCCTCCGCCTCCCTCTTCTCCCTTTCCCTCTCCTCAGTCCTCCTCTTCCTCTCCTTCTCCCGCATGACACGGTCATACTCCCTCTCCTCCTCGGTCCTCTTCGGCGCTCTGACACCCAACGCACCCGCAATCATCCTCCCAGCTACAGACGTTGTCTTCTCCGGTCGTTTATCTGAGCCACCTCTGCTCGAACTCCGGCTCCCACTATCGCTGAGACTGGAGTTCAAGTTGTACGGAACATTGTCCGGGTACTCGAACTGCGTGGGACTGGCAGGTGTAGGCGGCGGCGGGTTTGGCGGGTTATCGCGCGAAGTAGTGGTCGACAGCGGTTGTAGAGAATCGTGTGGTGAGCCCTTCTCTGCAGACTTGCCGAGGTCTACATCTTCCGTCTCAGTATCCGACCCGCTGAGTTCGGCTTCCCAGCTGTCTGCCACAGGCTTGGATTTGGGCTTCTGCGCGGTTTTCTGCGGATGCGAGGTTGAGAGCTCAAGGTTGCCGAGGGTGTTTGCGATTTCTGGGGTGACGGCATGTTAGTCGGTGCTTCTCCAATTGAACGTTTGATGCACGAAAGTGCTGGATAAGGGAAGTGCGTACCTTCTTCGCTAGGTGTCTTGTTCATTGGCGCCATAATGTTTCTTCCGCAGTGCGTATGCCGTATGCCGTGTGCCGTGTGCCGTGTGTGCTGTAACCTTGGGAGGGTCGTGTGAGGCTTGCGATGATTTGCGGGGTAAACGTTCCGGTTTCTTTGAGCAAGATATCGGATGCGGGGGACGATCAATCGTTTAACGCTTCTGACTCTAATAAAATGGCAATAGCAAACTGTCAAGCGATTGAAGGTGCAAACAAGGACTTAAGAGGAAGGGTTCAACTGAGCCTTGGAAACTAATTATGGAAGTCCACGGATCGCTCCATTGTACGAAACGTGGAACTGGCTAGCTTTCCCCTGCGCCGATTGCCCGCAGAATAGGGTGCCTGTGGGGAAGGGCGCGCGTCACAACGCACGACATGCTTTCGACGTCAGATCGATTGCTCCATTTAGGTGCGCGACCCACTCTCTAGATTCCAGAACGTCTGGTGTTCGAACAAATATAGATGTGGCTATGAATTCGTCTACAAGGAGTGAGGTGGTTTGCGCAACACGTACGTGCGTGTTATTGCATTCTGGACCGATGGACCCTGAAAGAGGTCCAAAGTGATATTCAGGGGACGAGGCCTAGACTTTGAGCTCTGAACTCTTCCTACGGTTTCACTGTTCACATCACCGCCCTGCACAATGAATTCAACTGAAAAGGTGCGCTGCCATCCATATTAGTGCTAGCAACTAAGATAACAACATCTCCAAGGCAATATAGACTTCTAGGAGAGAACTAGGTGTTCAGCATTGTCTGATTCACGGACGAACCACAATAGATCCTAGGCCGGCAACACCTTTCTCCGTTATCACGGAATAAAACTCCCAGCGTCCTTCCCACACATCATCGCCAGTCAATCAAGAGGGAAGCTTTCGCAGAATTTGGGAGTAGTAGAGCGCAAAACAGGTGTTTCCGAAACACACCTGGATTGAGAACATTATATAGAGTAATCCGACCGCGTTTTGTTGCCCTGCTCTGAATCAACACTTCACCGTGATAGTAGAGTGCAGAACTTCGACAATCACGGGGTCGAAAGCACACCCGAGTTCTTCGACAATTGAAATAATGGCAGATATGTTGCTGAAGAGGTTCGAATGAAAGGTCGGCAATTGGGGTCCAACAAAGAGAGATCTGAAGACGAGCAAAACAAAGAATTGTAGCAGAGGATCTATTATGCAGGGTCAAGGCGAGTGCGAGTGCGAGACATAAGTGGGTCAGAGTAGAGGTAAACTGGAAGTGCTCGAGAGAAGACGCGAAAAAAAGTGTCACGCGAGAATGAGAAGAGGTCAAAAAGCTTTGAACGGTTAATAGCGATATCTAGGGGATAAAGCCTGCATTTTAAGCTCCAGACTCTTACTACAATTTCACTCCGCATCTATAGTGGAATGATTTCGTCACATTCTAGCAGGCATCGCCTCCATACTGCCGTCGTTAGTAGTATATAGTTCGGGTTACATTGCTACATACACAGTATAGGGTTTTGATAACTAGATTATATCGAAGATCCTGTATGCTTTCGCTTCAATTTCTCGCATAACGTTTCGAAACCTTTATCAGATCCCACGCAACACGGCCCATGGTTTACATTATAATTTTTGATACAACGACAGCTACCATATGTACCAGGCAAGTGAAGGTCGTCTACCAAGGCACACAGAAGGCGCATGAACAACCGCCGTGTTCTACTTCTAGCTGTTGTAGCTCCGACTCCAATTCCAACTCCAGCTTCCTAAGCTCTGATTTGATTATCATATGAAACGTGGACAGCGCCAAACGAACGTCGTCCAAGCAAATCGAAGGGTGCAAATTCGAATGACAAGAGCGGTTGAAGTTCCAGTCTGAACAACGAAGCGAAGGAATTATCCACCATCGTGCGGCTCGTCGTTTCGTGTAATGGGCAGCAATGATACTAGCCCAGCCATCAATAACGGGCACTCCCCATTCCAGAGGCCTGATGGAGGGAATGTTGAGCCAACCTGTTGCTTGTAGCATCTGGGCAAATGGGCCGGACCTTGCGATTCTGAAAGGTGCAATCAGCGTACCAAATCGATATAAGGTTAAATCGGAGTCGACTGAGATGATATAGGAACCCATGGCTGTTTCGTATACATGAACACAAGCTCCATCTACGCCAGAATAGAATCGCTGCCGGCACAAAATGCGGAGATTGAAGCGACTGTCCATCACGTTTCCAGGAAGGGGCGGTAAAAAGTAAGCATCGGGAAAGTGCTCACAAAGCTCTAAGAGGAGCGAAAATTGGGGTACTCTCAGTGGCCAAGTGTCATGCTTTCCCAGTAGATCAGTGTACTTCTCTTTCAGTCGCTCGTTGGTCTTCTTCCTCAGTTGATGTGCTGTACAGGCTAGTCGCGGTGTGTGAACGCCGAAAAAATGATGTACTATGTGGCACTCAAGTGTATGTTGGTGACTGTATTGCGGCATGTGAACCTTGTTGCATGCAAAGAACAAAGCTGAAGCCTCAAGTATATGCCATTGGCCGAGAATGTCGTGTGAGGAACTCGTCTCGAACGCCGGGTTTTGGAGGCTTTGTGTGCGACCCATGATCATGACTATATAGAAGTAGCATCCGAGATCTTGTTGTATTCTTCTTTGAAGATTCATCAAAAGAGATTGCATAAGCCTCTTCTGACTTGGCTTTAGGCCGTCCCGAATCGACAGCAGTTTCGGTAGGCTCGAGGTAGAACTGCGAATCGCTGTCATCTCATCGTGTATATGACGCAGTGCTAGTTTTGTTTGGAGTGCAGTATCTGAACAGTCAGTAACCTTGTCGTAATCTTCTGGAGTATATATACGTACCATAGGACCTGTCAGGCGATAAACAGTTGATACGCTTCGCTTTTGGTAGTGTTCCGGTCGAATAGCGATTCCAGAACTTCGCGCACATGGCGCAGGGGACTTGTTTGTCGCACTGATGCTCAAGTTATTAGCCATGATCATGAGCCAATATCGGTTTGGAACATACCTTCTTCTTTATGTGCACACAATGCGTACATGAACGACCGGCGAGAGCGAGGCCTTGCACGTCCTGTTTTGCTGACTCGCTACGGTGGCCTCTGCCCTTAGTAGGGTTATCTCGACCCCGAAACGAAAGGATATTGATAGAAGATTGCGGTACTTTGGCTCGTTTTGAGATGCGCTTCTCAACTTCCCCTAACGAATGGTCATGATTTTCGCCGTCTAAAATATGGAGTTTGCGCTTGGATGTTATTGGTTTCTCCCGGATTGGTAGCGCTTGTGTGGGGGCAGAGTGCGCAGTAGACCATACCATTGACTGGGTTGCTGGTGCCAACCACGTAGATGTGATGGGTACGACTGTGTGGATTGAGGCATATGAGACGCATGGGCTCATTTTATGCGACAACTCCAAGTCCATGGGCTGAAATAGCGATTCAGTCGCTCTGCGTTGTGGCCTCGGCCATTTATAGTCAGTGCTACCGACAGGTGTCGTCACATACGACTCTGGGCTACCACTGCTTATCCCCCGGCCCAAAGTATCATCGAAATGGGCTTGGAAGGTATGGGGATCGGGATCGCGGCTTGTAGAAAGCGTGTAATACGGCATCTCGAGCGAGGGATCGCCACAAGCATAGTCTTCCACGAGAGTGCCTGGATAAGGAAGATCATAGTGCATATCCAGAGGAAGAGAGTCCGGAGTGATTAGAGAGGTATTCATTTGCGAGTACAAACCGCCATCAGTATTGGCATGCATGGAGATCTGGAGAAACGTAGCCTTAGTATACACTCGGTTTCTTCTCATCCGGCAAGATTGGGCTTACGGGTTCATAAACACGAGTACTGCCATTGGAAACGGCCCCATTGGGGGGTTGGGGCAGCCAAGCTGAAGAATGCAATTCGCATACGTCTGAAGACAGAAAATCGTTGTCAAATTCTAGAGAGTTTTGATCCGGCACCCATGATTGCGCCAGATGGACAGGTACGCTCGTGCTGGAAGCAAGTGAAGGGCCATCGTACCAGGCGTGCAACTGCTCAGAAGAGTTCAAGTACAGTTCTATAGCAGGGGATCGATCATATCCAGAGACTGCATATGATTTGTCGAAGTCGGGGAGATACCTCTGATCATTCGAAGCTGGATCACCGTCTTCCATGTGGATGTCACTTGCGGGCTCAGCCATATCGACAAGGCTGGCTACTCTGGTAGAGAATGTGGGAGGACAGATGAGGTTGATGAGACACAAGTCAGCTAGATGTGATGTATAGGCGAAAGAGACGGTGCAGGTGGATGGCAAGACCGTAGCCCGAAAAGCGGACACGCAGACATATTATAGGAGTAAGCGACATCGTTGACAGCAGTCCAGCGAGAAGCCACTTGTCGTAGAGCGCATGGAACAGAAGGCAGATGGGCAGCATTCTGCAGCCACCTGCACGTCCCTGTCTTGGCTCGAGGCTCCGACATCTCGAGGCAGCCTAGCTTTCACTCCGACATCCGCATCTGCATTAGCGCCGCATCGCCTCCGGGGCGTCATCACCACTCAGATCCCGCTTCATGAATTGTGTAACAAAGATCTCCGGCGTCAAAGCGCAGATTTCCTTCCGACGTCTCGAATCGATCTAGCGATGGACTGAGCGGTATCCTGCTTGTCGTTCCGACACTCGAAATAGGTATAGCTAGTACAAAGCCTTTCGAGACAAATCGACATTGATATGCCACCTGGGTAGTCATCGATGTGCTGGATAGTCACCTGAATGGCTTCATAACAACATGCGCAAAGGCTATATATATCAGTAAACCTCAGAGTTTGGACAAACAGATATCTTGCTTCCCATAACCGCGATCAATACGATCACAAATAGTCATACTCCATCCACAACTCCCCCAAGCCTACAGGACCATGTCTTCGAAGCCCTGGACACGAAGCGAGATCCTCGAGCTACTCACCCTCATCGCGATGATCATCATCTCCACCATCGCGGCTGCCTGGCACATCCTGATGAACCATAAGGTGAGCGTCCCTGCGAAGTGGCGTGAAGAAGTTACGCTGACATCGCACTCCGCCTTTTGGATCCAGCGACACAATGAGAAGGCAGGAGGAAGAAACTCATCAGGGCCGTTCTTGTAATCTTGGAGTGCACTGAGAAAACAAGCAACATAAGATGTGACGGAAGCAATCGCAGAACATACAAGCCATAGTGTTACAAAATACCACTGTATTTGAAATAGAAATTACGATCAGACTCTGACGAAGAACAACGAGAACTAATGATACAAAAGCAAGACACGAACAATGCTCGCTGAACCAGATAAAAACGCCGCTGATCAGACATGAAAATACCCATGGGGTATCTTGTCGAAACAGTTATGCCAGACCCAAAGTACCAAACGCAAGCCATGCGAGATAATAATCAAAACACCGAGAGATGCAGTGCGCCACATGCGGTATCATTACTTCTTTATAGACTGGAACCCATTCTTGGCTCCTCATCACTTCGTCGGATACTCTTCTTCTTCGCTTTGCCCTTCTTCTTGGCTGCCAGCTCATTCGGTGGCGATTGCGTACCGCGGCTGCCGATCTGACTTTCGCCTTGCTTGAGTCCCTTGACTTCCTGAAGCATGTCGCGGAAGCCTTCCTCGAGTGTAGTCATTCGCGCAAGCATGATTCTGCTCATGCGGTTGGACTCCGAGTCGTTGTCACTGCCCTTCTGCATCTCGTGTGCTTTCATCCTAGCAGCCATCTCGAACTGTGTGGTGAAGGATGCAGGTAGTCCGTTGAGGTTGCCAAAGTTGGGGTTGAGGTTGTTGTCTCCAAGGTCTGACGCGAGATCCAAGGCAATGGCGTTGAAAGAGGGCTCGCGTGCTCCATGGCTTCGAGACAGCAGGTTGGATGATATGCCGCGTGGTGGCATGATCGCACGAGGACGAGAAGCTGGCGCAGGAGGTGGGACACTAGTACGTTTTGGAGTTTTGGCACCTGTTCCACTCGAACCATCGATCCGTCCGGGAGTGGCTGTACCAGTGGCTGTTCCACTACGAACGCCTGTCCTTGGTCGCTTTTCTGGGGACGGAGCACGGGAAACGTTCATAGACTCCTTGACAGGGCTGAAAAGAATCGTGCTTGTGGATGCGTTACGGGCGTGTCCTGGTTTTGATCGCCTCTTGCTAGGTGACAAGGGCATTTTGGCCTTGAAACTGGAATCAGAAGGCGACGCCACGATAGCTGGTGTACGGCTTTGCGGTTTAGGTAAGATGGCCATTGGCGTACGGAAGGACTCATCTTCAGAAGACTGGTATCCTGTCTGAGGTCGTTTGCTGTCTTTCTGGCTTTGTTCAACTCGCGGAGTGATTTCCTGGTCAGAACTCGCGTCGTCGTCTTCGTCGTCCCCATCAGCATCTGTCTGCTGCGGCACCTCATCCATGACCATAGGCAGAGTCAAGTCCGGTTCTTCTTCCTCTGCTATAGCAGGGGCCAGTGGGGTCCCAGCATCATCAGGGTCAGAAACCACCGTCCTGGTAGCGAGTGGGTGCCTGCGCCTTGGCTGGCCGACGGTCTTCGTTCGCCGAAGATGTGGCCGGTTGGGCCCTTCAAGGCGGTCCAACACTGATCGTGAGTCGTCTTGAGGTGGTTCGTTTTCATCATCGTCACCCATTTTCCTCATCCAATCCGATACGACATTGCCTGAGTTCCTCCTAGGTGTCGGGTAGCGAGGGGTAGGTTGGAAGCTAGCGTCGCGGAAGGGTCGCCGGAACACCTCCTCGAGTGCCTGATCTTTCTGGAAGGTAGTGACAGACGGCTCACGCAAGCGAGGGCTGAACAATTCAGTAGGACCTCGAATGCTGAATGCAGGCACAGGCGCTTTAGACTCAGCCCGGCCTCGTTGTTCAACCAGATCAGTTGGGCCGTATGATAGATGTGACAGAAGAACGCGCTCATAAAAGAAGATTACGAACAAAATAGGAAGATGTGTCAGCTTGATGACAAGCCGATTCATGCGTAGGAACTTCTTGAAAGACATGGTGTACTTGAGTGGAATCAATAGCCACCCGATGATGTTGGTAGGTGGGATGTAGGAGAAGAGTGCATCCGACTTGACCATGGAGATGGTGTTGACTGCAAACAGGAACTGATGCTCTTCGTCGGCATTCTTGACGACTGCCATGAAAGAGTTTGTCAAGACCGTGATTAGGATGGTGACGATAAGAAAGTGACAGATGAAGAGGAACAGAGCAAGCATGGTCTTGCCGAGAAAGTTGACCTCACCCCAGAGATCCCAAGCGGCGGGTGTGAAACCCATGACCAGCTGGAAAATGGCGTATGCGGCGTCTGACGCACCAAGATCTCTCTTGAAGGCCAGACTGAAAGCGACGAAAAAGCCACTGCAGCTTATCACAATGAGAACGAGAATCGCAACCAAGTCCATGGCCATCATCTTGAAGGCGATGAGCAGTTGCGAAAAGTATCGGTAATGATCCAGTGCCGAGAAGAGTCGAGGAAAGAGCAGGACAGCGGTGGATCCAAGAACGTCATATGCCATGGCAGCAACACTATGGCGACTGACATCGGGCATGAGAATTCCGTAAAGGCGTAAGACGTAGTAGGCCATGAACATAAGGAGGATACCTAGATCAAAGGCGTTCCACACGCTCATAATGTATAGACCGAAGCCTTGCTCGGAGAAACCGACCACTTCGTCAAGCATGTATCCGGCACTCCAAAACCAGAACAGAACCTCGAGCGCTGTGATATCCTCTGACTTCTCCGCCAGCACCGCTAAGAAAAGGCCGAGCATAATGGCGAAGGAAAGAGTCGAGAACAGGTTGCGGTAGCGAGGAACACGTAGACGGGAGAGCTTGAAGAGGGACGCATCGTGGGGATCGTAGAGGGTCACTGTTCGCCGGAGGAGTGCTGCGGGGGGAGGAAGTGGAGGCGCGGGCTTGTTGGGCGACATACGACGGGAAGGGCCTGTTCGTGGGGAGGTGTCATCGCGGGCGTTGTATCCGCGCACTTGAGGAGAGTCTGGCTTCCGGTGTAGGTTGTCGGCTGCGGAGTGGAAGACGATGGTGCCCGCCCAGATGGCCTCCAGCTGGCGTACTACCAGAGGATGGGCGAGGAACTTCTTGGCCTGGGCGCGAATGGCGATCTCGAGAGTGGAGATGCGCGCAGATCGGTAGGCCTGTCGCGACCAGTTTGCGCCGCCGGGGGTGTTATTACCGCGTCCCTGCACCATCATGCCCTGGAGCGGGTCGAAGTCGTAGGAAAGGGCATCGATGAGCTCGCGCGTGGAGAACTCCTTGAGCAGGCGCATGGCCAGCAGCTCGCATATGAGTG